GTATTTCACAACATGGGCTTACACAGTTAGCTGGATAATTCTTCCAAATAAAACCTGAAACAGCTCTTTTCATTTCATCCCTTGTTCTAGCGATGGAAGGGTTCCAGATTTTCCTTGGTGCTCTTATCCAGTTGTCTCAGCAATTGTGTTTTGTGAAACAAGCATCATTTCTATCCAAAATCCCAATTATAAAATCAATGACAGGGATGCCAGCAGTTCCTGTAAGTTTGACGGAAGGCATCGTCGCAGCTGGACTTTTTGGTCCCTGTGAGTAAAGAGAAAAGGTTATGGCCCATAAAATTTGTAGCTGGGACAAGTGGCAGTGCACCTCCAGAGCAGATTATAGCTTTTGTTTGGGGATCGGCTAAAGTACCAGGAGCTGAATATCTGAATGCGGAGCAGCAGTTTAGTACTGAACACTCAAAACCTTTTGGAAGGGGGGGGTTGGTGTAGCTCTGAGGGTACCACCAGAAGGGACTGCGGCAGCGGGATTTCTGAGGGAAAGCCTTTGAGGGATCACTGCCTGGTGCTTTACCTATGGGGGCTGGTGTGACGAATAGCGCTCCCACTGGGTGGGTCGGGGGAGGTGACACAGCGCAATTATTTTCCAAAATTGGTCCTTAGAACCCAGGGTAGAACAAAATGGCCTCTATCTGTGTACTGCCAAATCATCTTTGTGAAGATATCTGAGATTCCAGCCTGGTTTAAGATTGTTTAAACTAGAGGTTTCATTTCCAAGTCCTATGATATTGTACAAAATATTGATCCACTGGTGGAAACCAGGATACACAGGGCCTGGGAATGTGACCTGGGAATTGTAATTTCTGAGGAAACTTGGGAGGACTGCATCTCAGCAATACATAAATCGTCTATTTGCATAAGACATGGGTTGATTCAATTTAAGGTATTCCACAGAATACATTACTCCAATGATAAGTCAGCAAAAATTTATCCATCTGTCAGCCCTACATGCCCCAGATGTGGTAACTCAGTATCTCTGGGTCACATGTTCTGGTCCTGTCCCTCTCTGGTTAACTTCTGGTCCTTAGTCTTCAGGTGTCTTTCAGTTTTTTGTAAAACGCCCCCAGAAGGCCAATCCACTCACCTCCGTTTTTGGAGTTACTCCTACGAAAATTCAGGCCACAAATGCACAGAAAAAAAGCAATAGCTTTTAGTAGTCTCATAGCTCGGAGGGTAATCCTTACTAATTGGAAATCTAAAGAGCAACCACCCTTTAGAAGATGAGTTCAGGAGGTGTTATCTTCACTCCCACTGGAGAAAATAAGATACACATTAAATGGGTCATCTGATAGGAGACCAAACCTTATTAAACCTTTTATTGATCATGTAAAGGGATTAAAACTTTGAACCATGGCCATATATTCTACCTGTACGATGATTTTCAGTAACCACCGCTGACTTAGCTGCAATATCTACATTACTGAATAACCTTGGACCCTTTGTGTGTACAAATTTCTGTTTGGGTGCATGAACATGTATTGATGCATGTGTATAATTTTTATATACATGTATGTTTTTTGTAGGTATCCATGTTTTCCATGGTTATGTACCTGAACATCAATTGTTTTCAGCCCCTTTATTAAAAAAAAAAAAAATTAAAATAAAATGTATATTCCTTTATCTTATTTATTTTTTCCTATTATTTATTGCTTTAAATCTGCAGATGATTGTGTTTGTTTTACTTTTTTCAAGGATGCTCTTGGTATAGGGGATGGATAAGAAGTGGGTGGGATGGGGTACTGTTTGTTTATGTTTTCAGCTGAGCTCAATATGCCCTGTTGGATATAAAATTGTAAAACATATTGTTAAATAAAGTTATATCTATATAAAAAGATGTTTAAACTGTGTTTTTCAACCTCTCCCATGTCATGGCTGGTCTATGGATTGGTTAAAGCAGCTTGACCTGAACGACTAGGAGTTAGCTGGCGCTCAAACGAGTGGACAAGGTAACTTTGCAGGCCAGTCAGCTTCTGAACTGCTAGTTGACCAAGTAAAAATATTGAGACCACACCCAAGATCAGCATTTGGCTGACTGAAGAGAAAACTTTTAATAGGTTGTTTAGGATTTATCACAGAATGTCACTGTGACTTTGGCTTCAAGTTTACTTTTTTGAAGGTGGGCACGTAAGACAGGCATGGCACTTTCATAACTATGACAAGACGTGGCATGAAAATGAAGGAATCTTTATGAAAGTTGGGGTTAAAGATATTGACAGGTTATGTTGTCTTGGTTAATGTTATGGTGTCATAACAAAGATATCCCAAACAATGTTAACTTCGCTCTAAAAATGACATAATTGACCAAATGTCTTATTTAATGACAACAGTCATAAACATTCCTTCATATTTGACAGGTGTCATGTATGATATGAGGTGTCATGTCAGTCTTATGCACACACCTTCAAATAAAGTGTTACTGACCTCAATGGGAGGTCTGCTCTACAAATATTCGCAGCGTGCTCTGACCAGATGTCATATATACAGTAAATCACTGTACACGACCATAAATAAAGGTTCAGTTATGGATTCAATTCTGTTGTTTTTTTTTTTTTTTTTTTTTTTTTAGAGTTGCAGTTCTGTGGTTTTTAAGTTTATTCTACTTAGTGTCCATCTTTCTGCCCCTGTTGCTGTCCCAGACTTTTGGCTGGTTGTTATTGCTGTAACTATTTTTTTTGGTTTTTGGCATACATTTTCATAATTTTTGACATGGTTTCCCTCGCCACCTTCAATAATTTCACTGTTTTTTGTGACCAAGACACCAAGCAATTCTGGTACCTACTATTTGGCCCATTTTGACATTCTATTTGTATCCTTGCGTTGAAGACTTCCATAACAAAGTGTGGGTGGTATGTCCTCTTTTTTGTAGACACACACTGCTAATTTCAAAGTAATAGGAATGACCTAAATTGCTCCTGCAATTGTGGTTTAGAGATTTCAAAGCCATTTTTCAGGGGTGCTTCCAAGACTGTATTTTGTCTGGGCCCTGTATCTTAATTTTAGCTCCCTCAAATTACTGGTTGATTCCATTTACTCCTAACAGTTGGTATAAAATATTTTCTAATCTTCAGATGTATAACAGATGTCCTTATCTTACGCAGCCTGAGGTGTTTACATTTAATCTGTTAGAGCAGCTGGAAATGTTCAGAAGCAATACACAGTGCCCTGATAAAAATATACTACTGCTGTTCCAGTCGGACCTAAAACCAACAACCTCTGAATTACATGATCCCAAATTTTAAAAAAAAAATCTTTATACTGCAATGCCAACCTTTTATACTCTTATTACCACTTGTTTTGATCTCTTACCTTTTCTCCACGGAGAACATGAAGCCCATCCAATACAGTGGAATCATTCCAGAATGTCACCAGACTGTAGAGGACAGCCACATACACTGGAGTAGAGATCTGTGCCATTCAGTTGCGTCTTTTCTTTTCCTAACTATCTACTACACTGTGTAACCTCCTTATTGCAAATCTATGAGGTTACTCGTTACCAGGCATGAAAAGGCAAGGGGTATTGCTTTCTGTGGCATTTTTTGGTCCGTCTGTCTGTCTGATTATCAGGAATCTATTGCACACATGGTTCCATTAAGTTTCAATTTTGCACCCAACAGGGTCAAGGTCAAAGTCAAGGTAACAGAAAAAGTGAATATTAAGGGCAGGGTATGTTGTGCCTGGCACCACTTGTTTTTAATGATGCAATACATATCAGCATATCTACAGCACTGATGTAGAACATTAATTGTTATTATGAGTGTATTACCCATTGATATATTTTATTTATAAATTTCCTCTAAGTCATGACCGTTGGCTGAAAGTTGATGTTCAATCAGACTAATCAGGTGCATTACTGTGGACCATTATTTTTTTTTTTTTATTTTTGGCAGAAACAGTGGACGGAGCAATTTGTACAGAGCATTTTTTTTCTTCCTTTGTTAAAAAATTGTCTTAATACTGTTTCACTTTTATAATGGAGTGGAAACAGAGCTCATGATGCCAGTTTCCTATAAAAGAATCATGACAGAACCAACAAGCTCTATCTGCTGCGCAAATGGGGTAGAGTTGACAAGATATTTAATGCTGTTCAATTGCAAAAAAGCAGACAAGCTGTCCTTATCTTGTCCAATCAAGAAAGGGCTAACAAGTTGTCCTTGTGATGTCCTTCCCCTGATTGCTGTCTCTTCATAGTCCCCTGACTATGCTCACTGGCATATGGTTCAGACTAGGACAGCTCGTGTTGTCAGATGGTGAGTGCCTTGTGACCTCATGAAGATATAAAAATTATATCTTCACTGACTACTGCCTTCAGAATTTCAAATGAAAATGGAATTTTTCCTCAAGCTGAAGCAGATTAATAAAACTGTAACAAAGAAAAGGAAAGCTTTGTTCTTTAAAGACCAGTCAGACTCTCACTCTTCTTTAGCTGCTCGTTTGATTAGGTGATCATTCACCACTGTTACCATTATTTTTCTTGAGGCTCTCAGATCATATAGAAATGTGTAGGTTAGCATGTTACCACATTGTTGGCAATAATGTTTTTACAGGCACTCCACAAAAGTGCCATGGTCAATTCTGGCTGGAAGGTCAATTCAATGTTAAATATTTAATGTAAAAAAAACACAGGGGCGCTGCAGTTGTAAGCAGCAACTCATGGATCGTGATCACTGGTTTAGAAGTCAAGAGGATGCATATGTGACTCCTGCAGGATAATGTAAAATCCGCAGTTTGGTGTATGCTATATTTCCATAAAAAATTGCTATATGGCAATCAAATTTGGACTTAATTACTAAACTGAACCTTAGTCCTTTTTGGATGTGATCATGTGCAGACATTGATTATGGGCCGGCTTTCTCCAGTAATTTCACATGGGCTGCAAATGGATTCCGCTGAACAGTAAAATTGTTAGTGGTCAAAAGTCAGGTGATGAGGTGAGATAAGGAAATAATATGAATTCCTTGATAAGAAAATCTCTTGCAGCTGCCGGGTTAGCTCACTCGGTTAAGGCGCTGCACTTGCGTTGCAGTAGTGATTACTACAGCGTGGGTTCGATACCCAGTCGTACCAACCAGCAGTGGTCGGCAGCTTTTTCAGAACAGCGCACGATTGGCTTAAGCGCTGTAGGGATGCAAATTGGGAATGAACTGCTGGGGAGGGAAATTTTAAAAAATGATTGCCTTGTTTGTTGCTCAAGCGCCTCCTGTTGGTCAGCCGGGCGCTCGTCAGTAAGATTCTAAGCTTGCTCATATTCAGGTATCCTCCGCCCTCATTCTGAACTTGCGATAGTTTCGACCAATGAGTGTAAAGATGCAGGGGCTGACAGGCACGTGATTCGGAGGAGAGCCGCGAACTGTCTCTCCCTCTTGAGCTGGCAATAGGGGGTTGCATAGTTCTCGGATTGGGCATTCCAAATTCGGGTGGGATTGGAGATGCCAAATTAAAAAAAAAAAAAAAAAAAATCTTGCAAAGGTCATGAGGAACCAATCTCTTCTTTGTAATAAAAAATATGCTTTAACACACCAAGGTGGATATTGCAGCAGTCAAAAAGTAATGTCCTGCCCTGTTTTACTTCAGCATATGAGCTCATCCAGTGGATTGCATGAATTAGTGCAACCTCTGAGCTGGGGGTTTGTTCTAATGGGGACCCCTGGATGACATCATGAAAAACTTGAATAATCATCACGTGATGTGGACGTTGGGCAAGCATCGGGCATCTGCCATAGAGAACCATTGAAAACGAGATGCACTAAACTGCTTGTTATTCGTATTTTCTCCATGGAATGAAGTGGAAATGTGTGCTCAAAGGTAGTTTAAAATGAATATTAACTGATTACACTAAATGAATGGGTGAATGACGAGCGGTAAATTTATTCACACTCCTCCCTTTCTCCCCCGTCCCGGGCTGCGACTTACGCCCACGTAACCTGGTTAACTTGCTGCCTTGTGATACTTATGTAGACCCACCAGCAGCCATAGGTGTACAAAACTCCTTTAGTAGTCTTCACAAGCTTTGTTCCCTTACCTAGCATTATTCTTGAACATCAACATATTTTACAAACACTGCAAGCTTTTAAATAAGCGGTAGCTATCGCATCACATTTGCGATCCAAAAATGCCTACTTTCGAACCAGAATTAACAATACCGGACAAATGAATCGCAGCCGCTGCAAAAGAAAATCCTAACAACATAGGTGGAATAACTTCAAATTCTAGCATAGAATCATACAACTAGTGTATTATCAAGTTCGCTAACGAACTGTTACCAAGCTAGCTTGCCGTTACAAACCTGTCACAGGGGTCACAAATTAAAGCATGAATATGAAGTCTCCCCTGTTATCCTGCTGTGATTTGAGCATTGAACACGTTGCTTTCGCATTTCTGTAGCTGGCTAAGCGCAAACAAAAAAAGGGTTGTTATTGTCGCAGTTTGTGGTATCTGGACTGCTCCTTATCTGTGTTTCCCCGTTAGCTGTCGATGGTGAAGTGAATTTTTTTCAGAGCCATTGTTGCTATTGCTGGGTCTGCTCTGCCGAGCCAGGAATGCGTTTCTCGAAACAACAGGTGTGAATTTACATAGTTGGAGCCATTGACAGTGAATGGACGAACTACGTAAGTTGCTAGTGTAGTTAAAAAACTATGTTTTTGGGAAACGCACCCCAGGTCCTCATTGTCAACACAAGTTAGATCTAAAATAAAAGTTTTTTATTTATTTTTTTATTAACCTTTATTTTACCAGGAAATGGTCCCATTGAGATTTACATCTCTTTTGCAAGGGAGTCCTGGCCAAAAATGGCTTCAAAAGAGTAAAAACAAAGATTACAAGTGTATCATTCAGACAGACAGAGAGATACAAACCATTTAGGATGAAAAACAGATATGAGTTGGTCCTATTTTTAAAGTATTACACAATTTTTTTACGCAAGTCTTCACAGGTTGGAGAGCCTCTGGCCATCTTTACTTCTGAGAAACTCAGCCTCTCCAAGACATCCCTTTTATAGCCAATCATGTTACACACTTGATGCCAGTTAACTTAATTACTTGCTAAATGTTCTTTTAGCTGATTCTCTTATATATTAATTGCTTTTTCAGCTCTTTTTTGCCTGTGTCCCAACTTTTTTGAGACCTGTTGCAGCCAGAAAATTTGAAATAAGCTCATTTTGTGGATAAAAATGTAAAATGTCTCAGTTTCAACATTTGAAAAGTTTTCTATGTTCTATTGTAAATAACATATTGGCTCATGTGATCTGAAAGTCATTGCATTTTGATTTTATTCACAATTTACACTTCGTCCCAACTATTTCAGAATTGGGGTTGTAGATCATCCAACTAATTTTAATATGACAAAACTATGTGAATAAAAACCAAATGCAGCTTTTTACTGATAATTTCATTTATTGAAGGTAAAGATGTAGTCTAACTGAAGTAAAGGTTGCTATATGTAATATGACCAGGGCTTTGAACCAGAATTTTTTCCCAATAGGTTCGTTCTGAACAGAAACAGTATTTTAACGTTGTCGGTTTTGGGTATCGGTTTTACGTTCTCGAACTGGTTAGAACCAAAAAATTTTGTTCCTGAACCGGTTAATATCATTCCATGTCAGCCATAGGACTTAAAATTGGTAAGTTTAACATTAGCACTTACAAATTGGCTATTATTTCCTTTATCCCTCAATGAACACTACAATTCACTAGGCCCATGCTTTATACAAGCTCCATCACTAAGTAATTATATGGCCACATTTGTTACATTATTATAGATGAATAAAGACAAGAATAACTTCTGCTACGTTATTTATTGCCAAACAACAGAATAGATCCCATTTCGCTTCTCACATTGCTCAATATATGCAAATGACAGAAACAGGACCAGCTACAGCTGCTATTGAGATTATTTAACAAATGGCCAGACCTTGTCAGGACTCAATCAGTGCATTTCACATGCTCTTCTGGTCATTTGGTGGTACATTTTCTAGTCGCGCAGTCAAATATTGAAGTAGGGCGACTGAGCCCAAACGCAGCCACGACAAAAGCTCAAGAGATGCAGAAGCCACGGGAAACAGATCCAGTCTTGTTCCTTGTTTAAGCAAAGTAAAATCACTGAAAAACTGGTGAACGCAATGGTTTTGGTTTCCTTTTTATAATCGATTTAGCATTGTAAGGATGGCAAATTGGCAATATTAATGCCAAAAAAAAAAAAAAAAACTTTCCATGACGCGCAGCAATCGTTTTTGTGATTCTCACAATTGCCACTCTGCTGTACATTGTGCCTAACAACGCTCTTTAGCTGTGACTACATTCAGAATATAAAACGGATTCTCCTGGCTTATTGCTTAATGAGCCTCACAAAATAATTAATGCAAATGTTTGGCATTTCAAGAGCTACATGTCTGCAGAATTTCTAAGGACGTATTGATATTTTAAGTCTTCATTTATGTGCAGATGAAAACGCCTCATAATTTTGTGGTGCTTTTTATAACAGTGCAATGGAGAACAAATTTGACGTCTCCCATTGACTTTGATCAATTAGTCTGAGCAGCTGTTGCTAATCGGGTAAAGTAAACTGCGAGAGGTTTATGTTATTAAGAATTGAAAGGTGAGGTTTCAGCGGGCCTTTGTGACAGCTGACTGACCGCTGCTGTGTTACGCTTTTGTACCCCTGAATTGTGCTAATGGTCGAGAACTATTGCGTTTTAGTGAATAAAATTGACAGGCTAGGCATAGCATTAGGCTTAATTCGGCTGAATTCTCTCTACTCTGCCCGGGCATGCCAGGGAATGACACACAGGAAGTGAACGTCTGTTGGTCATGGTAGCCCAAACACAAAACATTTCAAGAACGAAAAAAATAACAGTTTTAACCGGTTACCATTATTTTTTATAAACGATTCTGCCCCGGAACATTAAAAATTCTAATGTTTCTGGTTTCATGTTTGTTCCTAGCAAAATAGCAAAAGTTTCTGGTTTTCGTTTTCGTTCCGCGAACCGGTTCAAAGCCCTGAATATGACAGTGATATCATGGGGCCTTTATCCAATTAGAATGCATGTGAAACACAGGAATATGCCTTTTTTTAACTGTGGTTTACACTTAACAGACACGGAACTCTGTTGTAAACTTATTGTCAAATTACAGTTAAAATAACACAAAAAAAGTGCTGGTTAAATCACCTGGCAAAAAAGGTGCAACTTTATTACAGTGTGGTTATGGGCAGTATTGCACACTGTGGTGCATTCTGGGCCACATGGGGAAGACAGATACTGGGGAACAGGTGGCTGACTGCTTTTTATACACCACATAGATTAAATAAAGAAATGAAACGGAGGAAACGGAGCAAATAGGACAGAGCGGCGAGCACCGCCGGTCACTGTGAAGGGAAAAGGGTTTCTCCTAACATGACCCAAAGGCCTTTTTCAGAGCATAATAAGTAAGTATTCAGCATCAGCTGCACTGATACCCGATAACCTGCTGTTACCTTGGCTATAAGTGGAGCTGATCCTGCATGTGCAGCTACAGTCTCACAAGTGTACCCCAGGCGCTCAGCAGACTTACAAAAAGAATCAGCAGCACAGATTGATCAGCTGCCGCACTTTTCCTGGAGCCAACTGAAAAACCATGAGGATGCATTGCCATTATTACAAAATGAAGTCTGCTGATGGCTTCTGTAAAGTACTTCTTTAATTTGGCAGGTCCCTTCATCCAGAGTGACTTACATGGAAATATTTTCTTAGCTTTATGGTGGATTTTCACCTTGAAAATAGTTTGTATAATTAAATAACTGGGATATTCTCTGGTAAAAAAAAAAAAAAAAAAAAGCACACATAACAGATGTCAATGTATTAAAATTTTTTCCTAAGCAATAAAAATGATTTTGACCCTTCATTTACAGTGCACTTTTATTTTTGTAAAAATGCCAATAGCAGGAAAAACAGCCTGTCCCATGCAAGCAATGTGTAAACCTTTAGTGGCATTCACAGATATATTCGCTTCTCTTAAACAATTATGTTAACTCATTCCCTGAAACATCTGAAACAAGCATAAAGTAAAACAAATATTTAAAAAAAACTTTTATCT